TAGAAAACTACAATATCTAGATCGGAGATTTTTTGTACATCAATGTTTTACAACGAGATATGTCGATTAAAAATATTTTCACTATGGTGGCACTTTCGGAAACACCGGAAGTTGACAGCAACTTTCTTATTTTAAATGGGTGCCCCCATTTTTTATTACATACTTGTAAAATGTAAATTCTATGAATATGGATGTTAAACACTCTATACCTAACATTAACCGTTTTTGAGAAAAAAAATATTTAAAATTTTTGGACAAAAAAACTACCTGTCAAAAAAATTTGTATAGCTTATAAGTCAAATTTAGTGATTACCACAGCCACTGTGACATAAAGAGAAGACATGTGGCTATCTATTTCAAAAATTAAATTTTTCAAATGTCATAATAATGGCGGTAAGTGTCATGGAATTGAATTAAATCATTTTTTATCAAATGGAAACCCACTTTTTTATTTCACTAGTGAAAAGGCTTTTCAATTCGTTACTTTTTGACTGTACATGTTTCTAGACCTAAAATAAATTGTTTTGTGTACAAAAATCTCCGATCTACATATTGCGGTTCTCTAGAAACCTCTAATGCACGCTCAGCCTGGGATACCCCGTTTATTGGCAGAAATTTAAAGAAGAATATGTCACATGATACCGGTGATGCCAACTCGTGGAAATTTTCTGATTCGTGGGAAATTTCGAGTACCAGGGGGAAAAGGGAAATTCTAAAATTCATGTAAACTGAGTAAATTTCACATATTATAATGATTACGGTACTTTACTTTGAAAACCTCGTAAGTTCAATTTTTAGCAAAAGTTATATTATATGGAGACCTTTGAATAAGAAGACTAAGGAAGGAGCATAATGCTATCCATGTATGCATGCATGGTGAGCGGAAAAAGCACTCTAGGGTGGGGATCCTTGACAGTTCTGTTTGACGATTCATTTGACACATTTGAATTTGATTTGAAATTTTATGGATTTGTCAGTCTTTACGGAGCTTATTTTATGTTATTTATTATTTATTCTACTACTGATAGTTGTATAAAGGTAGTAAATCTAGATGGAAATTGTGGCAGAACTTAAATTAACAGTTACACTATCGCGATTTATCGAAAAAGACTCTAAAATAGTTGGTTGTGTAGCGTGCGGTAGATCTCGGCAAAAATCGAGTGAAATAATGGAACAACTTTTCGCTAGTAAGTGACTATATAATATACATACGTGTAGTAAACAGATCATTTATGAAATTCACTTAAATTAACTAATTATATATTTTTCTTGCATTTTTACTTTTATTTACTACTTGTCAAAGATTAGATGTCAAAGAATTTAGATACGTCAATTTGATTTACCAGATTTACCTGCTTCAGTAGCGTATCGGATGTTTGTGTTAATAGAGAACAACGGCATACGGTCGAGTCGGCCGCTGCTGGCACGTAGACGTAAAGAATCTTTTACGTGTATAAAAAACAAAAAATATAAGAAATGCGCATGCGTACGTAAACGTTTACGTGTTTGTAGGCCGACTCGACCGTATACCGTTCTCTAATAAATAATTATTATAACTTATCTATTTTTATTAGAATTATATATTTTTGTAACAATTTTAATAACTACCAACATTTATTCACAACGTCAAATAAAACAACATATTATTGAGTCTACCCCACGTCTACCCTACATCATAGTTTTACATTTTTTAAATAAAATTAGAACGGCACTGATAAACCGGAATTTAAGTCGGCCATATTTGAGGCCCATCGCGGTGGACCTAAGATTTTTGATATGCTCCTTCCTTAGCCTTCTTATTCAAAGATGGAGACAGATCCTCCAGTCTCCACCTCATGGGTACGTCAGTCGAACGCAAGCTCCTCGAATGTGAAGGGCATGGAAGGCCAAACTCCAACCGTGGAAGGGTGTATGAGGAAGAACATCTGTTGTCAGAAGAGGATGGGAAATACCCCTAAAATCCCCCCTACAACACGTATGACGAGTTATAACTCAAGGAAAGGGGAAACAATAGATCTTTGAGATCGCGGTGATTGGCCCCCCTCTCATTCATTCTACATTCTAAGCAGTAAATCGAATCTCACGATTCATTTTTAAATAGACTCGTTCTCGTTCAATCTTTGCACCACTTCTACTTCATAGTTTCATGGAAAAACAGGTTTTATATACTTACGAGGGTTTCAAAGTAAGGTATCTTAAAGCTTTATTGCAACTTTATACATTTAATTAAATGTAAATACACATTTAATCTCTCACTCAGTAAAAATAAGATTTTGCGCATCGCCTACCGCAGTTCTCATAGAGGACGCACAACGCAGCGCCTAGATCGCCTAGGGGGTATAGTCTGTCCAACGAGAAGATCCACGACAGTGACAGTAGTGTCTGTCAGTTTAATTCACAGGTAAATTGTATTTTCTGTCATTTTTTGGATGTCGTCTGTCGAAATCTTCCCTGGCTCATTCAATTCATTCGTTTCGTTGGATCAGTCGCCGTTAGTGGGCACTTGCAGATTGAGTTAGACAAGGACGTATTTGTAGTGTTTTTATTTTATTAATCTTTTAATGTACTACTTAGTTAAAATTGATAATGTTGCATTATTTTTGGAAAAATAAATGGTTTTTTGTTAACACGGTAGTGTTATATGTCTAGTTCGTCGGATAATAGCGTAAATGACCAGCAAGGAAAGCCCCCTCCCTGAATATTGTCTCTTGACGACACTGTAATTATTGATTTTGAGTAATTCGTGGGAATTTTTAGAAAAAACGGGAAATTTTTGTCTCCGTGAGAAATTCTATTTGAGATAGTTGATCATTGAAATGGTGTAAAAAAATCAGAGGGTGATAGTACTCCTAAAAATAATAAAACAAGTTCCTATAAGTATAGGGCGGAAAATGCATATTAAGGGAGTTAGGGGCACTGAAAGGGTGAATTTAAAAAACGGTTGTTTTTTAATTTCACCCTTAAATTGCAGGCTTAGAAAACGAGAATAAATTTCGAAAAAAAATGCTCTGCCATAAATTTTGACCCTAAATTAAATGGTGATACTGAAAAATTATTTGGAAAAGCGGGAAGGGTAGTTTTTGCAAGGGTAGGGGGTTGTTTCGTGAATAACTTTTTTGGAGGTTATTTTTTTTGCAACGTTCATTTTTTGAAAACTACATATTTTTTCCTACAAAAAAGGTACTCTTGTTGCACATCGCCCAAAGCGATGGTTTTCGAGAAAATTGAAGGCAAAGAGTTTGCTCTGATGGGTTGCTAACTGGTTAATCAACATAAACTTATGAAAGTTATGGCGGTTCAAAAGTAACCAAGTAGTTATCAAATAATTAATTGAAAAATCAAAATTTCATGATTTTTAAAACATCTTATTGCTTTAAAAGATTTACTTTAATCCACTAGATTTCTACTTCTGGGGCCACTTGAAAGCTTTGGTTTACTCAGTGCCGATTAATTCTGAAGAGCAACTACGGCAACGCATTATATTATTGACTGTTTCGATCAAATTTGGACACCAAGGATATTCCACAGGGTACGCAGATCTTGGAGCAGATGTCTGCATTGAAATGAATGGTGGTCACTTTAAACATTTACTATGAATGAATTAAGGAATGCATTATTTTAATAAGGAATTTTGGTAATTGGTTTATTTCGTTTTTAAAGCAATAAGATGTTTTAAAAATCATGAAATTTTGATTTTCCAATTGATTATTTAATAACTACTTGGTTACTTTTGAACCGCCATAACTTTCATAAGTTTATGTTGATTAACCAGTTAGCAACCCATCAGAGCAAACTCTTTGCCTTCAATTTTCTCGAAAACCGTCGCTCTAGGCGAAGTACAACAAGAGTACCTTTTTTGTAGGAAAAAGTATGTAGTTTTCAAAAAATGAACCCACGTCGCAAAAAAAATAACCTCAAAAAAGTTATTCACGAAATAACCATATACGTATTACTTTTTACAAATATACTCAGGGTTCCCTATTTAACCCCGTGTGCAATTTCTGTGCCGTAAGAAAAAGACAAGATAACCCAGCTCCATATTAAAACTGCATAAGTCTATTTCACCCGGATATGGATTGAACTGCGATTGCGCCAAACTCCGATTGATTGTTGTTTTAGTTCTGTTTGGATTACTTTTTATTTGTGCGCGTAAAAGAGTGATTTTGTTTAGTTTATTGTTTCCAACTATTTTTTGATATTTTTCAACTCCATGATAATGTGTTATAAATAATAAAAATATAAATAAAATTGAAGGTTAGGGAAATGTCAGTCAACCACTTCCCTTTAAAAACATCGACCAATGAAAACTTCTTCAGGTGAGGCATGCTCAGTTAAATGAATATCCGGGTGAAATAGACTTATGCAGAATTCCATATTGTTCTTTCACTGTTTGGGCTTCACTTTTTGGAGATTAGGCTGAGTATATTTGTAAAAAGTAATACATATATGGAAATAACCCCCTACCCTTGCAAAAACTACACTTTTCGCTTTTCCAAATAATTTTTCAGTATCACCATTTGATTTAGGGTCAAAATTTATGGCAGAGGATTTTTTTTCGGAATTTTATCTCGTTTTTTAAGCCTGCAATTTAAGGGTGAATTTAAAAAACAACCGTTTTTTAAATTCACCCTTTCACCTTTCAATGCCCCTAACTCCCTTAATATGTATTTTCCGCCCTATACTTATAGGAACTTTTTTTACTATTTTTAGGAGTACTATCACCCCCTGATTTTTTTTACACCATTTCAATGACACCCTGTATAATATACTCAGTGTAGTTTTTTGTTTTGTTTATTAATATTTTTAGTTTCATAAACAAGGTGATTAATTTCGATTTAAAATAACTGTATGATCGAAATACCGTATGATCGAATAAAAACGGTGTCAGCGTTGACTATGGAATGAAGATCGCTGTCATTTTAAATGTAAAATTATATGTGGAATGTGATCGATCATCATTTCCAAGCCAACTTCCATAATAATATGAAATGTTCTCTTACTGTTATGTCTACATTAATGATATCTCCATCTTCTAAAGCTCTATCATCAGGGATACCATGACACACAACATTATTAACGGACGTACAAACTGATTTTGGAAAAAACTTATAATTTAAAGGCGACGGATATGCGCCATATTTTATGCTGAGATTATGAACTAAATGATCAATTTCATCAGTCGATTGTCCCACCTAAAGTTCTGTTAATGTATACAATTATAAAATATACAATACAAATTAATGTATTTTGATATAATCATATAGCCAAACTAGTTTTGTTTAATTATTATACCCTACTTTAATACTCTTTTCCGTTTTGCTCAAAATTTTAGCAGCCAATTTACATGAGTCTTTCATTTTTTCTATTTGGTCCAAGTTCTTTATTTCTGGACTGTTAATTCGTTCTATAGGTTCGCCCGACTTATAATAACTTGGCTTAGGTATATTATCAGGAACTGTTTTTTGTGCACTAACTTTGCCCGGTTCAACAAATGCATATTTTCCAAAACCTGGATTTCTAAAGTGAATGCAAAATTATAGTAAGTTTTGTAATGGTACAGTTCCAATATTTACGTACCTTTTATTAAATGTAAAAAGGTACCTTGCTATATCATTTCCCTTAATTTTGACCATTCTATTTTTAACAGAATATATTCATTAACAAATTATTTACCAGTTATTTACTTACAATATGCTTACAATTAAAAATCTAAAACTAACCTATTATCTGTGTCATTTGTCATTGTTATTACCCATAGACAAACAAAAAACAAATAAAAAGTTATTACCCAACCAATGCCGTCTCTAATAGAACAGCCTTGAACGAGATTTATGACGTCACGCTAGTTAGATACTACGGATTAATAAATATGTTGTAGAAATACATGGAAAACATAATTATTCCTCAGATTTTTGGTTTGTATTTTAAAAATGATATAGTTTACATGAAGTATACTTTATAGTATACATAATATACAGTTAATAACTACAACATATATACCTATTTATAGTAATAAATACTTTGGCAAATAAACTATGAACCATACAAATGCAGCAAATGTTTTACAATATACAAATAATGTATAGGTACATAAGATATTGGGTAAAATGTAAATATATTTTAAATTTTGGGGTTTGAAAATCGATCTAATTTAACAATATTCAATATCTACTAATAGTCAGCCATCACTTAAATATTTGATATTAATTTGGTATTAGAAATAATCAACACTATTCAGTAAAAATTACTGAGCAAATATATGTTATGCTTTACATACATTATATTATCTAACAAAAACACATTCTTCTTTTAAACTTTATCATTCTTGTCTTTACTAAAATCTTTTTTAATTTTGAACTCAAAATAATAATCTTTTTCATGATCTTTAATACACATATTCTTTATTTTTCCCTAGATCATAATACCTACTTACGTGTTTATCTTACGTGTTTGAATCTATCGAAGCTGAACCTATATACAACACTTGGAGTGGAGATTCCACAATATGAATAAAATAAACATAATTGTCCAGTTTTCTTTAATACCATCCTGGGAGAATATTATTTTTAAATTTATTAAAGATATTTTCAATAGAATTGTCTTGATTTATAACTCGTACCCACTTTTCTTGCTCTTCCGGATTCTTTAGGCTGCCTAGTATAATTATCCCATAACTATCCTTTCCACCAGGAACACAACAAAGATGAGGCATAGCACCAAAAACACACTCCACTTAAGCTTTATTGATGAATTGTTGAACAGTCTTAAAAAACACATACAAAAATCACGATAAATAAAAAATTTATGGGCACTTTTAGGTTAAAGCGCTTAAAAAAACGTGTAATATTTCGTGTTTTTTAATGAGAAACAGAGTGACCATCATAGTGACCATATATCTGGTAGTACTTTATGTCACTTAAACACCAAAATAATTAGTTTTTTGCACTACAATAACAAATAATACCAAAAATCAACCAACAAAATATGAATACAGAATCTAACCCAATATCTAAGTATGTACAGCTGATGAAGTAAACAAAAGTCCGCCCGTAGGCTGATCTTTTATAGAAGACATTGATCTATGCTTTGAACTAACCCACAGATAAAGAGTGGATAAACTTTTGGATAAAGAACCCTCGTTAGAAATTAAACCGTGCGAACAAACACTAGAGGCGCCACTGGTCATCAAATATCAAATGTAAAAATGCGAAAGTTTAATAATTTAATTTTGCCACAAGAAGTCACTGTTACTTTTCTTAATTTCTTTTAATTCAATTTTCATTGTTTAAATATTATCTTTGTATTATTAAATGTGTGGATACGGCAGCTGACCTTGAAATTCGTATTTACTGCATTTGATCTATGTGATTTGATCACTTATACATGGTCGATGTTGCCAAATTGCGGTTATTTTCAAATTATTTGCAGTAGAAAACAATTTTTCTTGAATGTTCAATCAGTAATAATAAAAAAAATATAATAAACTAATTATCAAAAAAAAATTAATTATTAAAATTATTAGCAATATCATACCTTGTATTCTTTGTACCATGATAGTACCAAGGTTAGTTTGTGACAGCACTAGAAAAAACTAATTGTTTTCTGATGAAAATAAATCGAAAACGACCGGCAATCAGGCAACATCGACGATGTACGCATGCGTAGCATATATGATTATATGCAGCAAATAATCGTTTCATGATCAGCTACCTGATCCACACATGGATCCACACCATATCCACAACTCGATAATTACCCACACCTTTACCTAGAGGACTTAATAAAGGGCTTTACTGCAGGGTTCGGAAGTAGTTAACTAAGACGTAATTTACCTGATTAACTACGTGTAGTTTTTCTTCAAAAACAACGTCTTTTCCCGTTCATTAACTACATGAAAACTACGTTAATAAACTATGTATTGATATTATGAATATTTTTCCTTTGTATGAGGTGTAATAGAGATAATATGATGTAAATATTATATCTAAAGCCATATTTCTTAATACATTATGTGCTTTTAAAGCTTCATCTTATTATAACCTCACCTCAAACCTTTGACATTTGAAAGTTACATACATAGATTACATAAACTACACCCTCTACATAAACTACATTAACTACATGTAATGTAGTTTATGTAGTTTTTAAAAGTAACATGTAATTTTCCGAACCCTGCTTTTACGGGTATTAACGACAGATAACACATAATCCAGATGGCTCCTTACGTGTTAAAAATTGTTACCCTAATTTCACTCCAATTTGGGAAAATATTGGAGTGACATTTGAATAATCTAAAATTTTTAGGTAAAGGTGTGGATCCGGTGGCTGACCTTGAAGCCCATATTTGCTGCATTTGATCATCGATACTACGCAAGCGCACATCGTCGATATTGCCAAAATGCACTTTATTTTCGAATTATTTGCAGTTGAAAATTTTCTTTTGAGTGTTAATCAATAATAATACAAATTCTCTAATTAATTTTATAATTTCAGATTTATCTTGATATCCAAAACTTAAGGAATAATATATAAAATTGAATATATAAAATTGTAATATTAATAACATTTATTTATATATTTACATTAGAATTAAAAATTATCATTTACGAATTTTTTCTTAATGGTTTTAAACTTATTAGAATTATTTTATTTCTTTCAAGTTATTTAATTTCTAGTTATTTACATGCAACAATAGTTCTGATTATATGTATTGATGTATTGAAGTACTCCCATGACGAGTCTTATAGAACAATACACGACAATGGGAGATAGAGGTAACATTTTACCTATAATGTTACTAATATAATATACTTTGATTATAATGTTTGTATCATAATTTCTTAAAAATATCAAGTTAGTGGATTAATAGCAATTTTAGACATATATTTTATCGAAGAGTGTGGTGATAAGACTAAAATAAGCTTGATGTTTTATCTTTTTCTCTTTATAAGGGAGATGGTTTGTGTCGTAGAAATACAGTATTTAATATCGTGTAGTTTGATATTCTTTTCTTAATTTACTGTAATTTTTTGTTTCCTATAATGCCAAATGTTGTCAATATGGTGAAGGTTGAGTTTTTATCTTATTAGTTTTATACCTGTGTTTATACAAGACCAAATTAAGACTTAGTTTGTGATTTATTAAGATCTTTCTTATAATATTTGTTATATCTTAATCTTAATACTATATTATGCTTTGTCTGGAAAATAAATGTTAAATATCTTAATTTTGCATATCCTATTCCATCCTTCCATTAGGAAAAATATGGTTTATAAATCATATTTTGCTAAGAAAATCACATAAATTAGGTGTAAGAATAGAGAAATCTTAAGGTAGCAGAAAAATTAATGCAATATATGTATAAGCAGGATTAAACAAGGTAACTGTTAATGTTGCTGAAGCTGATTCTACACAATTTTAATTACGGAGGCTAAAAGGCCTTTTAAGGCCTCCGTAGTTTTGATCGAATGTTAAAAAAACTATTATGAACATGACATGAAGCTACAGCATTTAAAAATTAAAAAAAAAGAAAAAACTTGGACACATCCCTTTTAATTTCCCGAATTTTTAATAAAGCCCTTTTTAAACGTAGCATAATAATATAGAGCAATTAGATTAATTATAGGAATATAGAGTTTTATTTCTATTTAATTTTATTGACTATGAAAATACATAATAAGCGTTCACGTGTTGTGCGAAATATTAAAATAATAATATAAATAATGCCGCGTACTATGATTTAAAAAAAATAGCGGCGATGACTATGAAATGAAGATCGCTGTTATTTTATATGGGAAATGTCCTCAATCGTCATTTCCCAGCCAACTGGAAGCCGTTTTTTTGATCATACGGTATATATTGACAAAAAAACACTGAAAAGCATATATTTGTTTTCTACTGAAAATAATTCCAAAATAACTTGCAATCTGGCAACATCGAAGATGTGCGCATGCGTAGTGCCTGTGACTATATGCAGCAAAAACTCGATTCAAGGTCAGCCACCGGATACACACCATTACCAATTTTTAGATATCTTTTCTCACTTTTTTGGGAGGTTTTGCTTCTCTTGCACAGATGTCGCTTGCACTTCAGTTGCGTGGTTGCCAAACGTTATATCGAAATATATTTCAATTCATTATGAATATATAAAATTAAAGGTATACCAAATTAAAAATTATGTAATTTATAAACATGAAATAGGGTATTACCTGAAATAGATATGTTAAATTAATATATAAATATTTAACTTAATACGTTCATTATTATTTTATTAATTTATCGTCACACGTCATTTACCAGTTGCCTAATTACGAAAAGTTTCATATGACATTAACCTCAAAAATGATCTTTGAAAACAAACAACAACAAACAGAGCAACAAATGAACAAATAACTACATAATGACTGATAATGATAAGTGATAATAATAACTTTAATGATATGAAGGCTGATGAAGGTAATTATAAACATTATTTTGAGTTTGTTTAATAAAATATAGGATACAATATAACTAAGCAAAATCAAACAGTTTTAGACAACCAATACAAGATTTAGAACTTGACATCGTGATAAACAAATTGTACATTCAGGAACTCGTTTAAATATTATAGGTAAGTAATATTTTCACAAAACTAAACATTTTAGCATAAAATCACAGGTAATATATAGAATATTACCTATGATAAAATGTTAAATACTGATGTATATTTATTCTAATCACATTTAAATTTAAACTCAAAATTTTCATA